TGGTAATACCCTGGACAAGAAAGTTTAAAAATCCGATGGTATCAGAAAATTTGAACAGACGATTTCAGAAAAGGGGTTAGTAGGTCTAAGGTAGACCTACACAAGATTACTGCTCGCAAGTAGCCAGAGATATAGATTGCTCCAATATTTGAGAAATGTGACGGTGATGATCAAGATGATGGTTAATACCTTGGTCAGAAAAAGTTAGAAAACAAAAGGAAACAGGAACGATATGTGGGATATTCCGGTTGTGTGTGGTAAAGGTGCGTGCCCAGTCAACCTTCAGACTAATGACTTTCTGATGATTCAAAATATAATAAAACGGGGACTATACAGGGGAGGTTTCTGACCTTTTTTTTACCTTTCCTCAATTCAGATTATCAATGTGATACGGTTGAATCTTCATCTAATATACATTAATATAAATTAAAATGTAAACCTCCTAATTTTTAGATGTTATAATCATTATTTTATAATATTGTCTTTAATGAAAAAGATGACATACAATTTCTGCGAAACACACTGCCCTTAGCTTCGTTAAACAACCGGTTGGTGTGTCGCTTCTCATCGTAAAGTCAAATTATTGGCATTAATAAAATTGAATTATATTTTAGTACCTAAGCACTAATGGCGTGTTTGAAATTCATTTCCAATGTAATGAGATATTACTAATGTTATTATTTAATATAGTGGATACCTTTTCAAAAGCGAATGGGGGGTCTCCAAAATCATCAATTAAAAATGAATTTTATGTTTACAAGACACCTTGTATACGAATATAAAGTAATGATTACATGTTTAACACTTACATTTATGTACCTGCTAATTAAAGTGATATACTTGTTTATTTCGATCGTTAGATAGGTCAGGTCAGTAATGGGATCAATCAGATTCTTTATTTATGGAAGACTAGTGACCCGCCCCAGATTCGCACGGGTACAATGGTGATACTAAATTTTTTTTTGTTTTGTTTAGATTATTATTGAAAAGGGGAAATCTTCAAAAGATACCCCCTGAACATACTAAATATACTACATAATGTCTTTATATACAATATTCACAGTTTTTTGGTCATTAGACAATACAAACCGGCCTCCCGGCCGGTACCGCCGCAACCGCTATGTCCCTGCATTTTAAATCTGTAATATCTTCGAAAATATTCATTTAAATTACATGCTGTAAAGGGCCATATTGATCTATATTAAATGCACAATGTATTTAAGGTACTTAATTGGATAAGAATTAATGCTGTATTGCCTACAATCGCTTCGTAAATAAGTCATTATTTCTCATAAAAAGTAAAGGATAAAAATGGTTATTGTGGGTTATCCCTAAGAGATAGACATATACCATCGCGGACTTTTTTGTAGACCCTTTTAAGATGTACAATATTGTAGTACATTATTTTGATCTATCTCGTAGGGTTCAGCCAGCGTTTGCAATGTAAGCGCAAAAAATGTGTTTATTTACGACATCACATTAGAAACCTCTAAAATTATCAGTGTTTCCCTACTATATTATGCATGTATTATACATATAAACCATCCCCTTGAATCACTCTATCTTTTAAAAAAAACCGCATCAAAATCCGTTGCGTAGTTTTAAAGATTTAAGCATACATAGGGACAGACAGCGAGAAAGCGACTTTGTTTTATACTATGTGGTGATGATCAATACATATTTACATGTTAGTGTAATAATATCAATACACAGATAAAGCAAAACTGTTCTAAACTAACCGAACTATCAAAATCTTTTGAGCAAAAAAATAAAAAACTACCCGACTGAACAAATATGTTGATAATTATTTTACCGTTAGTTTAGTCTTCAGTAGTAAGTTTATATCTTTTTTTTTAATACTAAAAGTATTCATCCACTTATGTTGAATTCGTAATTACATTGAAAAAATAGCATTTTAACTAACTTCCTACACAAACCTTTTAATGGGTTTATAAATCCATCTTTAATTTTTTTCTTTTCAATTAGAATTACCATAAATGTTACCTGTTCGCTGAATTTCATTTTAATAGATATTAGGCTACATGAATAATGTTGGTAGCAACCAAACAAATGTCAATTTGGAATTTAACAAATAGAGGCTATTATAGGCATAATTTTTATTAAGGGAATATTCAGCTTAATTAACGAAATAGCGGCTAATCAATTAAATTAATAATTGGCATCGGAAATGGAGGACGTAGTGCCAGACATTTATTGATTTGAATACGCCGATTTGCATATTTAAATGGTTGTACAGCCATTTATCATATTTTCTGGAAACATTAATTTGAGAAGAAATCGGAACCTAAAAGATAACTTTTTTACATTTAATTTAATAAGCAGTTGTTTGATTAATGATCGGCGCCCTATACACTTCTCTAATTGTAAGTCTGAGAACTTTGACTTTTTTTTTATTTTTTGAAGATAAACGAAAAAAAGTAATGAAAAAATATTTTTGTAACATTACAATAAATAAATAATGAATAAAAAGAAAGTCATTTAGCCAACTCTTTTCATTATTTCATTATCAAAACAAATGCGATTGTTTTAATGAAGTAATTGTGTTTTTTTTACCTTAACTGTCCCCATAACAATAGCAAGTACCTACAAATCTCTACGGTATTATATAATTTTACATTTCGTTGTAATATATCTTACTTACTAGACAGGCACACTTAAATTGGGAAATTGTATGTACCTTTTTACTTTTCAAAAATTGCGTCAATGTAGTGATTTAAAATTTAAAAAAAAAGTTTAAAAAAAGGGTTCCGTTTTTCATTCGGACGTACGGAACCCTAACCCGAGAACCAACTTAACATTCTAGTTGAAGAAAAAACATGTTCTTTCATGCATTCAAACTGCAAATGTAAATTTTCACGCACAATATTGTTTTGTTGAAAGTTTTACTAAATTTTCCTGAATCCATTGGGATCCGTCAAATGGGAGGAGCTTAAAAACATGGCGCCGATTAGGGAAAATTTATCGTAGTTCCTATAGTGTACCGTGCAATTTCCAAGTTTTTAAATTACGATAAAATGATAAGTATTGACACAATATGTGATTGGGCTGACACAAAGCCTCGGAAAGGAAATTTCGNATTTTCTTGTTCTACTGCTATTATGCTCTTTACACTACCTTATTAACCATTAACATTTTAGTAATTATGTACCCTGTTCGTCTGAATCATCCTTTTTAGTATTAATGGCCTACAGGAAAAGTATTTATTGCAGTTCTTTGTGGAAATATATAGACTGTTTCCTGTATGAATAACGATTCCAGAAAATCAACTGCAATTTTAGATTTATTTGCGTAATACATATGCGTACATGAAAAAAATAAATATTGCACTTACGTGTATGGCATTAAACATTTTAAATGAATTAATTATACGAATGGCTTTTGCCATCTTTTCATGCAGTAAATAATAATGTAATATAAGGCCAATAAATGCAATGTAAAGCTTCTGAGGAGGGGCTTTGCCTTACCCATATACCATGCGATCAATTGTTAATTAATTATTTATGGTTGATAATAATTTATTAAATATGCTAATTGCTTTTTCCAAAAGGATTAAAACCAAATTTTTACTTTATTTTCTTGATGATTTAATTAACTGTTGTGAGTTAACTGATCCTAAATATCTTTTGAAAGTTTTATAAAGTAGTTTAGAAAATTTAACTAATACTTATTTATTAATTATTTTTTGCGCAAATGAATTAATATCTGTTCTCTCAGTTTGCAACGTTTCAAGACATTAGTCGTTTAATTCTTCTTCTAATGAGTCATTTAGATTCTGTTCGTTGTTAGTTAGAGTTAGGGTTAGGTTTGGTTACTTTAGTTTATTTGCCAAATTTGTATACATATAAACCATCCCCTTGAATCACTCTATCTTTTAAAAAAAACCGCATCAAAATCCGTTGCGTAATTTTAATGATTTAAGCATACATAGGGACAGACAGCGAGAAAGCGACTTTGTTTTATACTATGTGGTGATGATCAATACATATTTACATGTTAGTGTAATAATATCAATACACAGATAAAGCAAAACTGTTCTAAACTAACCGAACTATCAAAATCTTTTGAGCAAAAAAATAAAAAACTACCCGACTGAACAAATATGTTGATAATTATTTTACCGTTAGTTTAGTCTTCAGTAGTAAGTTTATATCTTTTTTTTTAATACTAAAAGTATTCATCCACTTATGTTGAATTCGTAATTACATTGAAAAAATAGCATTTTAACTAACTTCCTACACAAACCTTTTAATGGGTTTATAAATCCATCTTTAATTTTTTTCTTTTCAATTAGAATTACCATAAATGTTACCTGTTCGCTGAATTTCATTTTAATAGATATTAGGCTACATGAATAATGTTGGTAGCAACCAAACAAATGTCAATTTGGAATTTAACAAATAGAGGCTATTATAGGCATAATTTTTATTAAGGGAATATTCAGCTTAATTAACGAAATAGCGGCTAATCAATTAAATTAATAATTGGCATCGGAAATGGAGGACGTAGTGCCAGACATTTATTGATTTGAAAACNTACATATTTGCATAAACAATTATAATAATATAATTTATTTATGGCATTTCCGTTTTGCCCCTCCCCCCTCTATCTTCCTGTTTTCATTAGTAAACATATAAATTTAATTTATATTGTTCAATAAATAGTAATAGAAGAATAACTAAAAAAATATTTTTTGATATTTATTATTACATAGAAACATTTTTATGAACAATATCAAACTGAGTATTTAGTAACAAATAGATTTGTTATTTCATGTACTTAATATTTTTATGGTTTCGTTAACGATTGCGCCCCGTAAAAAATTGAATTAATTAGATAACTTTTGAACAAGTTATCACACTGCAAAATACATTTAAAAAAATGAAAAGTAGTTGAAAAATATTTGTTTTTCGAGAGTCTCGCATTATTTTTAAATCATCCACCGTTCTACCAAAACATACAGGTACTTAGAAATATTTTACCTTAACATCTTCTCGTTGTATTGTATGGGAAGAATGCAGAAAAAATCAGTGTAAAAAAGGAAAAAACAGTTAAAAAAAAAAGAAATTGTTCACCCACTAATATCGCACCGCGACCGACCGACCAACCGACCGGTAATTGTACGGGTTTTGATTTCTGTGCGTGGAAGTCGAGTAACTTCTCACGGTGTACAACAACACAACCACCGAGTTCTGGGTTCTGCTTCTCGTGGACGAGAACCTGCGGAAAGCTACTTATAAGACTCGTGCGCTGTCGCGTGCATCTGCAAGCCACCACGGCGAAATGTGGAATGAGAATGTCATGAGTGCAAGTGGCGGTGGCAGGTCCTTTGAGTCCGTCTTTTCTCCAAGAGAGAGAACTTCCCGACATATACACATGTGTGTGAGTGTGTGATGCACACACACACACAGGGGCGTCGTCAGCGTCGCGTCCGTCGTCCGCTTCGCCGTTGCATGGGGACGACCCGCGACGTAACCGATTGCGAAAGAACGAAGGTAAGATGAGGGCCAGAAAATGCCAGAACAAGATCGAAATGATGCACACAGAATTCTAGCTTCAAAGGATTGTGATGACCATTAAGATACTCGCCGGTCGTACCATACAGAGTGGTCCGTACAGAATGGAAAATAAATACTGTGATCATCATTTTCCCCTAAAGGCCAAGGTTCTAATACCTCCACTTCTCTAAAACACTTGCAAGGACTCAAGAAGTAACTGTTTTTTTCCCTTAAAGCCTTAAGGTTGTAAAACCTCCCCTATTTAAACCCCCTTTACTAAAAAACCCCCAATTGAAATTTTTGTGATTAATCTCTCGAAAACGCCTCCAAGGATTTCCACGGAATTCCCAGAATAGAGGTTTTAGTCGATCATTGCTAGAATTTTTAAATAAGTCGTATTCATGCAATTAGACAACGAACAATACTAAAGTATGCAACCCAACATGCAGTCCCTACATGCATGATGCATAGATTACCGTAGTAGTAGTCGGTCAACTCAGAAGCTTGAGTATCAGTTACTGCTTAATTTGGATCCTCTTCAGGAATAACTAAATTTTCTTGTTCTACTGCTATTATGCTCTTTACACTACCTTATTAACCATTAACATTTTAGTAATTATGTACCCTGTTCGTCTGAATCATCCTTTTTAGTAGTTGTCCATTGTCCCATTTTTATGAATCACTCTGTATAAATGTGTATTTTCCAAGACTGAAGATGAGTAAGACCATATAATTCTTAAAAGGAACAGACATTCATTTTGGTCTTGGGACTTTAACGGAAGGTAGTATATTTTGTGGTAAATACATACATCGAAAACCAATGTTCTGAGAAGTATCTAACACTTTAAAATGGGATCTTGAGGAGGGAAGCATACTAAGAAAAAATTGAAAAAATGCATGCAAGGAAACAAAAATGTAAAAATAAAAAAAGCAATAACTACAAAATAAGTATGTACATATCATATCGGACTTTACAATTACAGATTCTGAATCTAAATGTACCAAATCGGAATTTTCGGGAGTCATGATAGACAGTGACTCCCTATAAAATTGCAGCCTGCTACATGTTCATTTTGTGACTGCCAGTTATTGTTTTGCTTTTCTTGTTGCATTTGAAGCTATTAATTTTTATGTGACATATTTAGCAATGAAATACCTTCAAACCAGCGAAATAAATTCTCATTGGAGAGTAAGACATGACAGGTAAATAGTGCATTGCGAAAACGAGGTGTGGACTTGAGGACATAAATTTTCATGATATATTGTAATTTCACTGCGAAACAAAAACGATAGGCATAGAAAAAAAAACAAAACGGAAAACAAAGAAAAAAAACAAAAATAACACGCATGGTTTGTTATTACCCGTTGTAAAGGCATTATCGCATGAGTGACATTTACAATTGCCATAAACTCTGACAAATCCTTTGCATATTTCTTTGATGTGCATAAATGTATACGTACGTGTAGCAGTGGCAGCTGGTACTCAAGGTAAATATGTCAAAACAATAATTATCCCCAATTATGGGGTTTTAATGGAAAGATTGAATTTTTGGGGTTTCCCTGAGATTGACATAAAAAAGATTAAAGTTTCATTTAAATAGATCCAACTTTGTTGAATTAAGTTCGTTAGAAAATTCTAATACCTGCTTATAAATTGTTTTATAAGGAATTAAATTGAATTGATTGAATTTTAGGGGTTCACCCCGAGCTTATCATAAAATACATGTACCATGTATACGAGCCGCCACTGACATACTTACACAAAACATAGATGCATTTTACAGAGTGTTTTCCTTATTTATACCTCGGTTTTGGAACTTTTTAAAAGTTATTTTTCATTTTATAAAGCAAAATTTTATAACTAGCTGAGCCTGTCTAAATTTGTACGATAGGGCCTTGTATCGGTGGTACACACTTTAATTCCGACGATTTTTTCTTAGTGTATACTCATGCAACCAACTGTACTCCCCAGTTTCAAGGTTTTAATGTGCGATTAGAAGATAAGTATAGGCCACCAAACATACACTCGAATAGAAACGTTTAGACCCGCTTATTTTTTTCATTGTTTATTTCCAAGCGGAATACGTCAAAATAATTGATTTTTAATTAACGCACTCGTTCAAACGTTTTAATTCACAAATATCTTTTAAACTGCTTAATAAAATCGGATAAAGTTTTGCAAAACCCTACCTACGTATACTCTTTACTTGCCTTAAGGATGGAATAATCGGTGAATAACCTTCGTCCAATTCTTCACATCATTTTTTACCCGCAATGACGTGAGTCACGCACATTCTTATAAAAAATATAAAAACAGTTAATGCATGTACATATGCTACATTGTACATATACAGATAATAATCAGGGAAATGAATCAATATTCGGCCAACTTTAGACTGATGTATATAGGAAACTACTACTGAAATTTATACCTATAGGGTTTGAACAAATTGGTTGTTGTTAATATTGAGTTGGTGTATTCTTTTACCATTTTATAAATTTCGTTGTACATATTTTGTACTTCCTACAGGTGTTTCGCCTTTTGTCCAGCGCTTTCATCAAAATTTGTCGTATAATTCATACAATTACGTTATTTTCCCCAAAAACCAAATTCATACATCGTAAAATTATCGATATACCTAATGATGCGTCGTGTTTTTTATAAACAACCCCCGTATATGATAAACACCAGTTAGTTCGTTCACCAGGATTAATAAATGTGCAGCGTTACAAGCATTCTGCTTTCAAAATAAACTGGAACGTCTTATTTGGGGCAGTTTGTACCCTCGTCCTGTTGAGATTAGACCCCTTGCATCTCCCTTACGGAAAAATTCGAAATCTCTTTGGAGAATCGTCATAAACCATCCCTCTCTGCCCATGATAGTTATTGATGGGGTGGAAGAAGAGTATAAATGCAGTGCGCTTTCACTTTTATTCTTTCCGCGATCAAAGCAAAATGTTTTCGCCAGAACTGATGTTTCAGCCATGCGGAAATTTCGCAATGTATAGGATACAGATACAGGGTGTTTCTGATAATATCACATTGGGGATGTTTACATATGGACATTACATGTCTGCTTAAAACACTTGCAATTATCTACAAATTAAATTAAAGTAGGTATTCGTTCATGAAAAAAATCTTTGTTATAAAAACATTTTTCTATAGATGATTGTGAAAAAAAAAATATGTTTTAGTTTAAAATANTACGGCCCTGGCTTCAGCCTTCCGTCAGCTGTTCCCGCCAAACATCGTTTGTCCTAAAACATATCTTCCTAACATTATTCTAATGTATCAGCCCGCCTTCGGCGGGCAGGGGCATTAAACAAACTCGAGTCTGTCATACATCTACCTAACTAAACAATGACGTCATCAATGCATATTTGGCGAGAACAGCTGACGAAGGGCTGCAGCCAGGGCCGTACCAATCGAAATTTCTTCCGATTAAATAACTTTAGGAGCCTGTATCTCAAGCTCCATTGGTTTCCGCACGGAATTAATGCTACCACACGATTCTACTTAGTGAGTACTACCTACCTGACTAAACTTCATGTCTCAATTCCAATGTCAACTAATGTAAAAAATGACCAGAATATGTAATATGTATATGTGTAGTCTGTAGTAGTCATTTATCTTTACAATCTCTACTGAGGCACACTTTAGGCACATATTTACGCTGCTATTTCATGCACAAGGCTGGCTTCAGATTGTTGTAGTTTTCTTAAAAAAGTATTTGTCCCTTAATTCAACATGCAGTTCTCTATTGCATTTAATTGACACCCTCCAAAACTCTGCACTTACTTCAGAAACACCCTGTATAATAAGAATATTTTTCCGATTGTTTTATATTTACTTTGAAAAAAAAACAGACTTGTAAAACTGCAAATGATATTTCACTTTATTTTTGTTTGGTTTACATGATGCATTTAAAGTTTAAAGTCTACTAAAACTTCAATACAATCAAATTGGGACAGACATTTTACATCACTGTCATTTAAAATACGGAAGTGCGGTACCTTCCTTATTTTAACTACATCTTCTGAATATATTCCCAATCCTTTACAGCAAGCGTTCAAAAGAGACATATAGTTAAGTTTTGAATATGGGAGTTCCACTCTAATCCAATCTGGATCAGAAACGTGACGATCTACCCTTTTTACCTGCAGTACTAGAGGCCCCCAACCTGATAGTAACTTTGTAGTAAGCATATTTCGAATGTCAACCTGGTGATTGATCGAGGGATTTATTGAACATGTTGAAGTTTCTCCCTCAAATGTTTCCACTTTACAATTTTCACCCTTGTTCATTAATATATCATTTCGTAAAACAATTTCAAGCTGTTGGAATTCGGTCAGTCTTTCTACGTCACTGTCTTTTCTGATTAGGGTGTTTGGTAACTTCCTTATTCTCTCCACCTCAAGTTGTTGTATTCCTAACTCTTTGCAGCAAACTCCCTTAAGGGTATCATATGTAAACTTCTTACGTGGGAGTGTCACTTCAATAAAATCAAAGTCAGATGAATTTGCAATTCTTACCTTCACTACCAGATCTGAAATTAAATTAATAAAATTAATCCTTCGGAAGGGTAATTATTACAATTCTATTTCTTTTACCATTTGCCTGAACTGCCGGTATCCCAGTGGTAGGCATGGTTCTTGTTCTATTTCAACTATCAACGATCAGGGGATTTCCTAAGGAGATTGCGTACGTCATAGATGGGTACGTGTGCTCCATACACCGTTGCCAGATGATATTTTTTGCCAAGAAAAAACATTCTTTTAGTTGCAACTATTTAACGAAATTTCATTTTCAATTAGTTAAATCTTTCAATTTATTTGCTCCTGTTGTTTAAAATTGTCTTGCTAACAAAAATTGTCCACATTTTATACAAAATTTTATATACATACAATTTTTTAGACATCTTTTAGAAGTGAGTTAGTTTAATATGAAATATTATTCTGAAAATTCATTTCTTGAATTCTTTTTTGCCCACTACACACTTCCTCAAATTAATGAGGAAAAATTTTTGTTGCTGTTGTCACACCCCCGCCGGGAATCGAACCCGGGTTCTTTGGCTTTACGCNATTTTATACAAAATTTTATATGCTTTCAAATCATATTATATTTACAATGTAGTAATACCTTATAATTGATTAAACAAAATAATTAGAAAATCATCAGAAAAGAGCACAGCCTTGTTAGACTAAAGATACCTTTATTTTTGCTAATTAATGTGATGCAACATCAAATAACAAAATAGTGCAGTTACAAGCAAATAAATAAGCAAATTATCATAGCTTACTTAAGTATCATTTACTAAAACATTTTGTTATTGCTTACAATTATGTTTTCTTAGCTAATATAGAATAGTCTGATCTTTACATGTTGAGATACTTTGAAAACCGTTGCAAACTTTTTCTCTCGTCTTTATAACAATTTCGAGACATTGAAATTCGGTCAGTCTTTTCACATCACTGTCTTTTCTGAGACGCGTATTTGGTAACTTCCTTATTCTCTCCACCAAACTCGGTTGTATCTGCAATTCTTCGCAGCAAACATTCAAAAGGGTAGAATAAGTGAGTTTCCATCGCGGAAGTTCCACTTCAATATAATCAGGATCAGAAGAATTTGCAATTCTTACCTTCAGTACTAGATCTGAAAATAAATTACGCGATTAACCCTTCAGGAACTTAAATATTGAAGTTGTATTTCTTTTACCATCTGCCTGAACTGCCGGCAACATTGTGGTAGGCATATTACTGATAACGCTGTGACGGCTTCTTGTTCTATTTCCAATATCAACCTGTGGATTGACGGGGGGATTTCTTAAATAGTTTGGAATTATACTTAATTTGTTATCTTCGCTATTAGAACTGCTACTACTTATTGCAGAATCATCGGATATACCTAATAAAGCTAATATGCTTGAATTTGAACATAAATGTGCCGCAGTCTCTCCCTTAAAAGTTTCCACCTTAGGATCTGCACCGTTGTTCATTAATATCTTCACAACATCTTCGTTGCCACGTTTACAAGCCCAATGTAAAGCAGTCCTGTTATAAATAAAGGATGTCTTATCTGACAGTAACTGATTAACACAGTTAAATAAAAATTACCATCCATTTACGGCGTTCTTGGAATTTATATCGACATTGTGTTTTAAAAGCGATTCAACAGCTTCAATATCACCCACACAAGATGCTTCTCTTAGGTTTTCTTCGAAAACATTGGCCATTGAAAGACTAATTTAAAATTGACGGTTATCTACTAAACAATTAATTTCATCAAGATCATATTCTGTTACATAGCAACTTCAATCGAAATCTACTTAAAAAACAATAACAACATTACTTTTATTGGTTTTTACTCACTTTTTTTAAAGCACAGTAGTGCACTATGGGCATTCTTCCTCTTGCCGGACATTATATCACTAAAATTAACAGATGCAACTTATTATAATATTTATTAATGTTGCATGTTCATCAGGTCAAGTTATTTAAACATAATTGTGGCTATTATTGTTATTATACTTAATCAAAATCGAGTAGAAGTCACAAACTGAAAAAGAATGACAGAAGAGGTTAGGATGCTACGCTAGGCAGTGGCATAGGTAGATAGTTTTAATGTAGGTGACATTTCTTTTACAATTTGACATAATTCATCTTATTAGACTTATTAATCAATAGTAGATTTAAAAACAATTATGATACATTATTTTTTTCTTCTTAACGTCCGTTATACATTAATAAATAGTTTTCTCTGTAAATTTTTTTTGTTGCGCCTATGCTGTTTCTGAAAACATCAAAATTCTATGGATACAAATTTCATCTTAACAATCTATGATCGTAACTTTTAATCTATTATCTATGCTTGTAATCTGTGGTTCATAATCTTTATCTATGGATTATAACCTTATTTATGATATGTCTATGGTTATAACCTAGAAAATATTGGTAGAATTTTTTCATATTTTGAACACCGACCGCATGTTGTGGCTCCTTGTGTATTGTTTAATTGTTTAATTTACGTATTTTTGACGGTTTGACTTACACAAAGTGATATTAAGTGTATTAAACGTGTTGAATAAGTATTTAATAGATAAGTATGGCAAAGATTGGTGCTCTACACAAGTCGTACAGTAAAGTTAAACCAGGAAAACGTTTGCCAAAACAATTGCCTGTAATTTCAAAGAAGAAAAAGCCCAAACATAATGTTGAAAGTGATACCGGCCATAGCGAAACGGAAAATTCAGTGGACATTACAGTTGGATCCTTGTTGAAAAATCCTTTCAAACAGAGCACCTTGATTGATCCAAATCAAGTGCAAAAAGGGGTTTCTGCATTACTGAATGCTGTAAAGAAAACAGAAGAAAAGGAACAAGCACTTTTTAGTGAAGATAAGCCCATTTTTTTACAAATTGTCTGTATGAAAGTACCTCAGACACCAGTTCGATTTATCAGGATACTACTTCCAAATTCACCTTTTTCAAGTGAAGCAGAAGTTTGTCTAATAGTATCTGATGTTAAAAAGAACGGGCCTATAGATGATGAAGAAACGGTAACTTTTTATGAGAATGTATTGGCACAAAAGGGTGTTACGAATATTAAAACAATCATACCACTACATCAGTTAAAGACAGAGTACAATATGTATGAATCAGTTAGAAGACTCGTTGACTTGTATGACGTATTTTTGGTAGAGGGTAAAATTTCTGGCAAGGTTGCACATATCTTGGGAAAGATATTTATAAGTAAACGTAAAAGTCCCACTCCTATTAAGATAAAAGGGGACAGTTTATGTGCACAGATTAGCTGTGCCCTTAATAAGTCATTGCTTCATATTCATTCAAAAGGGGATTCGTTTACAATGCAAGTGGGAAATACCAGTATGAACGAAGAAAATATGAAAGAGAATGTCATTGCAGCTATTGAGGGACTTGCAACTGAATTTCCAGGTGGTTGGGAAAACATTTCAACACTTTATTTGAAAACAACTACTAGCATAAGCATCCCAATTTATATAAATTTAAGTAAGTATTTATTTATTTATTTCTTTAATTGTTACTTGATGTGATGTCTTTATTATACAGGAAACAAAAACGAAGTGAAAGTACCAATTGTGAAACCCAAGAGACCTAAAGCTTTCGCATCTGTCACTGACGAAATAACAACGTTTGAAGATGCAAAAATATCAGTACATCCTGATGGAACAGTTAAACTTCTAAAGGATGGTGCACCCAAAAAACCGCTCTTTAAAAAAAACAGAATGGGTAGTATTATAAAAAGAAAAGGAACCATAGGAAAATTTAACAAATACAAACGACCTGTTTTAAATAAGAGAAACCCAAGGAAAACACAAAATAAATCGGAAAATGCAGTAGAGAAAGAGGAAGAAAATTATTTACAAAATTTACAACGTGCAGAAGCAAGTGGCAGTAAGAAAATATCGAAAACGTCAAAAGTACAGAATTCAAAACTAAAAGGGAAAAGTGATGCCAATAAGAAAACATCTGAACGGACAAATATTAAAACCAAAAAGCGTAGAAACAACAGGAACTGAAGAAGAATAAAAATGAATCACTATTATTCATATCTTGCAAAATATTTACTAGTTATAATTCTAATAAAATATAATCGATCTAAGAAAGATGAGTTTAACTTCTTACAACAGGGTGTTCAAATACTCTTTAACCCATCCAGAAAAATATGAAATTTTATAGTAGATATTCTAAAAAGTAAACCAAGAAAAGAACAGTTTTTTACATCATCGATGTTCGCGTTATGTATGCGAACAACGAACTGTGTAAACTGACGACGCGATTAATAAAAGAAAATCCTTCCAGTTGATACAATTGTACCAAATATGTCGGGGATTTACAGCCAATGTGAAATAATTAGTATACATACTCTTGCAACTTTGCCGCACATTTAAAATTGTAAATTTACCGCCGTTGAAACTGCGCATGTCCTGAATATTTCTCCATTATTACGTCATTTATTTACATTTGAGACAAACAATAAAAATTCAATTTTTCAATGTACCAATACTTTAATAAAATCTACAGTTATTACTGTATTCTTGGTTTCCGCACTATTTTTATGAAAATGTTTAAGTCGTATAAAAGAAATTTACTGTTTGATTGAATAATAGCGAAAGTAATATTGTTTGTGGATTTGTAGGTTAAGTGTGTGCTGCTGTTTGTTTCTTCATAATATATCTATACGAATAATGAAATCAATTGAATGGAAATTCGACTATCACGAAAAATAGTTACTTTTTTATTTTTAATCGTAGTTTTATTTATGTATATGATATACAACTACCACATCTGTGCTCTTCCAGAAATTACACAATCCATTTCAAATGTGAGTTCTCTACACAATTTTTAACGGTTTATGTCTTAATTATTTATTCATTATCATATTATTAGGTAATTAGATTGAGTGCAACATATATTACTACTATGAGTCATCTTGCATCAGTTAATATTGTTGCTTTTTAAAATACTATTGCTATATGCCTCTTTCTAGAGTTGCAGTTGTTTCTTGTGTTGTATTTTGTGGATGTGTCATGCATGTGTCCCCGTTTTGCTTAACAGTTAGAGGAATTTGTTTTCAACTGAATATTAATATCTAAAAATTGACTGAAAGCATATTTTCTTTGCAGTTACATTTTAATAGAACTTTGGAATTGTACAACAGACACCATCATATCAAAACAATTCACCAAGTGCCAATAATTACATTGACTGGTTCTGATGCATATCCGAAATATAGATTTTTTAGACAGCAAGGTCTCCAACCAATCCGCCAATTACCTACAGCGTTAATAATTGGTGTAAAAAAGGGGGGCACCAGAGCTTTACTCGAATTTATACGTATACATCCAGATGTACGGGCAGCTGGATGTGAAGTACATTTTTTTGACAAACACTACTCCAAAGGATTTGAATGGTACCGTCACCATATGCCTTTAACTTTAGATGGACAGATAACAGTAGAAAAAACACCCTCGTATTTTATAACCAGAGACGCCCCACAAAGAGTAAAATTAATGAATCCATCCATAAAGTTGTTAGTGATAGTTAGGGATCCCGTAACTCGTGCTATCTCCGATTATACTCAAGCCATATCAAAAAAACCTGAGATGCAATCTTTTGAGAGGCTCGTTTTCTTCAACGGTTCTCAAATTATTAATACCAGTTGGGGACCGATCAAACTAGGAATTTATGCTCGATTTCTGAAGCGTTGGCTCGTGTACTTTCCACTGAAACAACTCTTATTCGTCAGTGGGGAACGTTTGATTGTAGATCCTGCAATAGAACTCAAAAGAGTTCAAAACTTCTTAGGTATTAAGTGTGTCGTTACCGAGAAACATTTTTACTTTAATTCCACCAAAGGGTTTCCATGTTTATTTAAGAGCGAAAGGCGAAGCACTCCCCATTGTTTAGGTAAAACGAAAGGTCGAAATCATCCTCATATTGACCCCGCAGTATTACAACGTCTTCGCGACTTCTATAGGCCTTTTAATGACCAGTTTTATCATATGACTGGAATTAATTTTGGATGGCCCTGAGTTAAATGACTTGTTTTTTGTCTTAAAACCAAGAAAGTGTTCCAAATATTTCTTAATAATATAAAGCATCCTATTTTACGTTACTGTGATATAAATGGTTTGTCTTAATTAGTTTTTATCTGAAATAAATAATTACTTAAGTATTATACGCTTCCTGTACATGATTTGTTATTTAAACAGAATCAATGTGATCTGATTTTGGCTGTAATGTCTTTTTTGTTATTTAGTTTTATGATTACGAAACACTAGTCGAAGCAATGATTAACGATAAGAAAGCTATTGCTTAGTAAAAGCTTACGTGGTAGGTTATTTTAAAGCGGAATGCATTTTTTAAGGTGATAGGGATAATTGTAGTCATCAATGATATTAAATCTTCAAAAAATAATTAGAAAATTGAGTTGTCTCTTACATCGCTTTTCTTTAAATAAGTTTGTTTTTCATCAAGGAAGAGTAGAAAAATATTAGAAACTGAAGAAAGTTCGGGTAAAGCATTTTATGTATTCTAACTGGTTCTTTTGTGTACAACTATTGCATTCAAAATCTTTTAGTATACTTAGTAACTTGTAAAAGGCAACAGTGAACTCTTAAAGCTCTAATACATATCATTCTTCTACAAATAATTATTTATTTTTTAATTTAAAGTATTTATCAATAGGATAACATTATTGTTCAAAATGAGCTATAATAACTGTATTTTCTTTTTGCAAACTTTGCATGTAAGGTGACTGTTAAGGATTTAGATAATTCTTAAAATTACTAGTANGAATTCGTTATGTAAATATGTCTTGTCCGGAATCCACTTTGCGTTCTCCAGACGCAACGTACGAAGGGATATTCGGTGTGTCGTGTCAACGGGTGATGCGAGAGAAATATTTCCATTTATTATGCGAACGGGGTCGACGTCGGAATCGGACAATAGACTTGAGACGCCAACTTCGAAATTCAAGAGAAGCTGTTTTCGAAACCCTAAATCCGTACAAGGACTGATATCGATCACCTCTATAGTCACTGGGGTGAAGATCTGAAGAAAATAATATAAAAAGAAAAAAAAATGATACATTTATGCAGGTACCCATATGCCCACGGGAGAAGTTACAGTTCAGGTTTTCTAAGTCGTATAATATGCATTTTATAAAACAATACTTTTCAAAACGCATTTAAATAATATTATCATACATAAGTACAGAATTTAAGAAGTACAACATTCATTGGTTTTGGATTTGGTATTTCGGTAATAATAATGAAAGAATAAAATTATCCTTTGCTAATATTATATATAAAAAAATTATGAGTGTTGTCAGCACAGGACAAAGTAGTATTACACTAATGAAAGTTAGTATCAGCAATTTGTTATGCTGAAGTGTACGATGTGTTGCATACCTATTCACAAACAATTCTTTCAAATTTAATTTTTCAAACAATTTTTAACACAAAGAAAGTTTCAAGTTGACTGATAGAGGGGAAGAACTAGTCACCTTTAAATTTTAAAATTTATGAACTTACCAAACAAAAACTTTGTAAGATTCAGCCTTGATTTTTAAATTGTCTGATAACTTTGCAGTATAAGCAACATCATCAGTTTTAACTGTTGGTGTCCATTTTTTTGGCCCCCTCATTCTTAAATTGGCAAATATGTCTCTAAATCTATTATCAGCGTAATCAGATATCAGAACATTGCTTTCACATGATGTATTGCCACAAAATTCTTGAGATCTTTGGCAAATCTTTTTTGTTTTTAATTCTTCATTTTCAAGTGGTAAAGTCCTCTTCAGTTCTTTAGGCTGAATTGTGATTTTAAATCCATTTGAAATTAATTTCCTATACGTCAGATATTTGTCTATACCCATTATTGGTAGCAAAACACTATAAGCTTGTTGTATACTCATTGTTATGGTTTTCCACAATACTTCCAAGCGGTTCTATAATAGAAAATAATTTCAATGTCTTTTATGTTTTATGATTGTGGAGCTTTTTTTTTATAACTTTACTTACTGTTTCTATTAGATAAATTGCTTCTTCAGGGTATAAATAATAACCAGTTTTATTTTGAAAACCAAGTTTTCTTAAAAAACATCCTTTTGGTTTTGTTACTAATGTTAACTTCGTTTCTGGTTTCCAGTTACCTTTCAGCCTTGCAGACCTAAATAATAGTTTTACCCATTTGATTAAGATAATATAAATTAACTTATTTAGATAGGAATTAATGTAATACCTTCTGTCTACTCTTTGAACCTCTAGAATTCCATGCAAATTTTTCAATCCTGCTTCAGTGTCTTGTTTTTCCTTTTCATTATTAATGGGTATGAAATTCTTGCAAACTGAAGTTTCATCTTTTACAAGATTTCGGTGGAACTCAAACAATTGCGCCACCCTATAACGCAAATACTGCTCATCTTTATACATGATGTTTTTAATATGCAGATACATACCATTGATTCATCATTACATTTTCTAATAATTATTTCGGAACTTCACATTCTTTTCCTTTAGATATATTAATAATTATATCATACCATTATTTTAATAATTACACTTCGATAAATTCACTGGTATAATTAAAACCAATATTTAAGAAATAATATTTAGTTAACCCAATTTAGTAGTGTCCATAGATAATTAATTATAGACCATAGATAATAGATATACAAAGGGTATCATAGACAAGAGAGTGTTTTACTGTTTGTCTAGGGGTAATGATTAAGGTCTATAAATGTCCACATTCTACTTGAAAGAAGCAAAAACCGATAATACCTAGTTAAATTAGATAATTTTAAAAGTATTACCGTAAAATTTTATTTGTTGGTAAATTATAAGTTATTCTTTTTAACTGATCTGTAAAGTAAAAGTTTTCTAGATTGATGTATAGAACTAGCGGTTGCAGCGCCACTACATTTATTCTATCTTCTAACTTCACTTGTATTGTCCAAACGGTCCCATTAAATATATAGGTTAGATCGGTATTTCAGAAAGAAAATTCACACAAAAACTCTTAAAAGAGACTGTTTTAGCAATTAAAACAAACATCCGATAGTTTTAAAGTGTAGTTGTTTCCTGTTAGTTAACAAAGTTTCAACAGTTTCTACGAAAATGGCTTTAAACCTGATGAAGAATAGCATCAAAATGAATACATTCAGTAAATTACAAGTGAGAAGTTCTAGTGGATCCAGCGAACCACAATTTCGCGTCCTTAATCTTAAAGTAACCAAATCTAAACCAGCCCCGCGTAGACAACCAAAAAAATTTGATACTGCACCACCTAGAGCCCATCAGATGCCAACTGATCAAAATTGGGGAAATGTATGGCCTGGTCCAAGATCGTTTCATCCAGCGACAGTTCCTCTGCCTGTTAGACAAGGTTATGGAGAAAAACAAGCACCGCCAAGTAAATATGCAAATGCAGAGTTAATGAAAATACCTAATTTTCTTCATCTCACTCCACCTGTCATAAAAAGACAATGTGATGCATTGAGAAAGTTTTGTACACCATGGCCAAAGGAGCTTTCCACAGATGAAAATTGTGAAAAGCATTTCCCATTGGAAACTACAACAAGCAGTTATTGTTATTCCTCTCCATCGATTAGAAATTCTTTAGCCAGAATCGTTACATTAAGAATAAAGCTTTCTCATTTACCATTAGATCAACATGCAAAAGATAAATTTCGGAGATTGGTAGGGGACAGGTACGATGAAAATACCGATTATGTAACTATAGTTGCAGATCGTTGTCCCACCAGTAAACAAAATTTTGATTACTGCATGTATTTATTAACTGCTGTATTTCACGAATCATGGAATGTAGAGCCTTGGGAATCAAAAAAGACATTAGAAGATATGGAGTACTATGACTGGACAAAAAACCAATCATGTAAAAGTTTGGAGAGCATGTTTGAAGTCCCCTTTGATAAAATTGAACATGGGAAGGAATTTTCAGAAGCTGTTTCAAATTTAATGAATAATGGTGAAAATTTACAAACACTAAAGACATATGGAGATACTGTGAGGAAATTATTAGGTCTATCAAAGGAAATTTAATAGATACAATATGTAAATTATAATTAGTTTGTAATATATTACATTTTAATAAATCTGTTGCTTAATTTCATAGTTTACGTATCTAAATGAAAAATATTTTAAAGTTGAAAGTCTAAATGTATTTTCTAGTTGTATGTTGCCATGTACATGTTTACTGTTTAGCTACATGTTACGTAAAACAAGTCGGATATGTAATTTAATTGCAATATGAGGTCTTTATTTGCTGCTCTTGATGAAAGTTTATAACTATAAAGCTTTCACCTTTAACTGTTTCATCTTAGGGGCGCGTTTCTTAGCCTGTCTCTTCTGTTCCTTTTCTTCCCAACGTCTTTGTTTTTCTGGATCTGATTCAGCCAAAACACGTTCTTTTTCTAATCTTCTTCGTTCTTCTCTACGGGCTGCAGCAGCTTCTGCACGTGCTACATGAGTTGATTTTAAAAACAATTCTTCTACACGTTGTCTGTTTTTGTCTGCTTTGGATTTTCCTTAAAAGAAAAGACATTTTTTAAGTATTATTACTAAAAAGTAAAAGTTTGATGATTTACTTACCCTCTTTTGATAATCTGTATCTTTTAACTTTATCAATACAATAAAACACCATTGTCATTAGAGGCTTCATGCGTTCAACAGCTTCATTTACAGAAACTCCTTTTACTGGTAAATTAAATCCAAACAGTAAAACCTAAAAAAATATACAATTACATTTTGAAGACTTTAATGACTTGAAATGAAAATAATTCTGTACCTTCTGTGTTTCTGGTAATTTTAAATTTTGACTATCATCACCTTGTTTAACTCCAGTGTACTGATCAGAGAAATGAATGTACTCAATCATATCAGCATACTTGTTAAGAACAGCTGTGACTTTGGAATCAAGCATAGCCAATGTTGCTTCATGAATTTCACTCATGACTTGAAAAGAAGAGGGTAGATTGTATTTTTCACCAGGTCTGCGTTCTGGACAATAATCACTCAGATCTGCCATCTCCTTGGATAAGTGGAGAGCTGCCTTCTTTGAAGCAACACAGAATATAAAGCTGTCCATGTCTTCTTTATTCATAATTACTCGTACATATATCTGATCCATTAATGGTCTCATTAGGTTTGCTAAGACAGCAACCAAATCTTGCCTCTAAAATATAAGCCTCATAAACATTATTTAAGTAAAATTGTGGTTATTTACCTTTAGGAACTTTAATTCAACCAACATTCCTTCACAACAAACTCTACCACTACACCACAAAGTAAAGACATTTTCACTTTCTTTCGTTAAGCCCCCATTTTCTCTAGTTTCTAGGTTGGTATCATCTCCAACCAATGAAAAGTTTTCTTCTAATAATGATTTATGGGTTTGTAGCCAAACATTTGCCAGTTTTGTATTTTTGCTTTTCCCAGTTGCAAAATTTAAAAAATACACAATTAAACCTACTATCATTAGGATTTCTAACCAATAACTGTCCCAATTTGCTCTGAAATGCATGGGTACTTTTGTAATAATAATTTTCGGTTCAGCGCCTGGTTTTTCTTCTTTGCCATCACCAAAACCTTCAAATTCTTCTGTATCTTGAAAGTGTTCAAAATCAGAATCATCCTCCACGACAATATCATCTTGATCATCTGCTTCAAAAGCATCAGAACTCTTTTGACTAGATTCTTTGGATACTACATTATCAGCTTCTGGATAGATTACTTCCTCCTCAACATCGAAATCTTCGAATTCCGCAAATTCGTTATCAGAAACATCCTTATAATTTACAGCCGATGATTGAATAATAATTAACATTAACACAGCGGTAAACAATGCAGGTTTAGCTTCGAAAATGAAAACTTTGGAGTTTTTTCCAGTTTTTTTTCTCATTTTAATTCTTTAAATTAGTTCGACCAATATTCTACAATTAATTGTAAAATTTATAAATCGCAAGACGTTTTGATAATCACACTGATAACTTCAACAATAAATAACCCAAAAATTTATTAAGTTTAGGTTAGATTATGTCACGATCTTCTTATTCTTCCTGGCTATAGAGCTCTTGTCCATATAGCCATTTTTTTTCATTTGGTTTAATAATAAAATATGTAATATTTTTTAACTTTTTTTTTATAAATTGGGATTAAATAAAATGAAAACCATAGTAAAAAGGTTTATGTGATCTAGATTTGCTTATATTTTTATGCAAATATATACAAGCATTTATTTAACTTTTAAAATCGAAATACTTCATTTTTCGCTGCTTATTAGAAATAAGATTTAATAGTCTTTAGACATATATAAATGAAAAACTTAAGAACTTTTAGCGTTATATTTATAATCATATTGCGTGTGTTACATTTTATTTTAACTCTACTTGGACATCCATAAAAATAGACATTTCAAATATACAAGTTATTTCAAACAATTTCATGTGAAAAGTAGTGATTTTGTGTAATTTTGAGACAATTGGTTCCACATTTCTTTATTTAATTAGTTCTTTAAATTTTAAAATTAAGTTTCTCAGGTGAAATTTATCGATTTCAAATCAGTTATAACTGACTTAAAAATAAGGTGCACGTTATTAATACTCCCTTGAGGTGATGGGGCGGTTAGTAAATATAATAGTACTTAATGCATTGTTTGAAACCATTTCGGTATATTTCAACATTTTATTTGTGTGAGTTAATTAAATTATTATTAAATAGGCAAAAAGCTGAGAAACTAACAAAAAATACATTATATGGTGCAAATGTGCAAAATTCCTAGTATTTTTAGTAGTGTAGGACGAAAACCAATAACAGTATTTATCAAAAATAATTTACACAATAATATTAACATTATCACAATTATTATAAAGTACCGAAATTACTACATCATCATTATTTACTTATTATAAATACATAAAGTAAAATTTACAACAGCAATACAAAATAACACATTTTTTAGAGAGAACCTGCTAATACAACCAATTAATTCATTAGGTAAGGACAAATTATTGCCTGTTAATTGATAAAAAAAATATTGTCAATTTAAAATTGTTATCGAAACGTTATTAAATTAATTTTCTTTTCTTCAGTATTGTCAATATACTTGATGATTTTACATTTTCTATTTTTTTAGCATATGTATTAGGTACAGTCTTATTATTATTTACAACTTTATTATAAAATAATTGCTTGAAGACCTATTAAATTTTTTAAAATAAGAATACGACAAAGGTGTAGTGCTTGGAGTGTGTCTAAATTTTAAATGTACTCAAAATATAATTAGAAAAATAGTTTTATCAGTTTCTATTTTATCAGACTGTTAATGAATTAATGCGTTTTTATTAATATAAAAATTATATTTACTTATGAAGTGTATTCATTATGTGTGTATTTTTTTAAACTAAACTATTTGGGTGTCCAAAGAGAACTCGATATTGTTCTCCTTTGGTGAGTCCACCCATGGAATAATTTGAATGACGTTTCGCCAGCTACTACGAATGGCAACCTCAGGAGGCGGAGAATTTTATGTTCTCACCTTGAAGATGCTAACCACAGCAGTTGGCGAAACGTCGAATAAACGACTCCATCGGTGAACACACTAACCATTCCTAGATTAAGGCCATCAAGCCCTCTTCAGATAACGGCCACTAAAGTTTTAGTCTTATTTAGGTGGTAGTTATGTTATTATTATTTTTTTTAATAATGTATGTACCTAGCTAAGGTGGACCAAAAAATTTAAATAATAAGTTATAGAAACTTGGCAATTAAACAAACAAATAACATTGTAGTGTGCTTTAAAAAAAGATTGAATAATATTTTTAAAAACACCTAAAATACTTCTCTTTTAGATAAAGATCCTCACATAATTAAATGAATAGATTTATGCTGCCACATAATAACGTTGTTTGTATTTGGTTTTTTAAAAGAAGCAAAAACTAAAAGATAACTCTCTTCTTAATCGGTTAAGTTAATTAAGACGCCCTACGTAAATACAAAATATTTTTTACAAAAAAAAAGTAAAATAAAAGCGCGATCCACACGTTTTGTCAATTATATATATGTATACCAACAACTAACGGATACACTGACGTACTTACACAAACACATAACCCAAACACTCATCATATACAGGGTGTCTTGTTCTTTATTATCACTACTGAAACTGATTTGTTCCTAAAATTATTTTATCAAATGGGATTTTTTTAATATAGGTAGGCATTTGATAAAAAATAATTTAGAGAGACGGCATACAAAACTGATTTGAGCCAAAAAAAAAAGCAGAAGGGAACACCCTATACTTTATATACTTCTACTCGTGTTTTCACTCTCATGCTGACGCACTCAAAAATGTTTTTTCATTATTTTTACGACTAGTTAGTATTTATGGGCGACAACGTTTCCGTAACTCAACGAAAATAGGGTAAAAAATGAAAGAGGGAGGGGGCAGTTTTAACAACACACATCATATTTATCATGATATGGCGCACGAATTCCGGGGCACGCAGCTGCGATTGTTACTGCCGGGGGAGGTGGGCATACTTATGAAACGCATCTTCCTGCTGCCCGCGTGTTTCCTCTGACTGTGCGTGTAACGCAACTGCATGCTAGAAGTTGTCAACGCGTACGATTTTAAATGCGATTTCACGCACGACGGTAACGGCAACTGTTCGATCCCGTAGACAGTGGTGCGTGCCACTATTGCACGACAACATAACTCTTGAAGGCTTAACACTGTAAAAGAAAAAATGATTTCAACGATTTATACCAATATCTGAATCTGTTGACTATTAACAACTGATGTTACAACAGAGTTGTCGTTATAACCACTTTTCACTGTATTGTAATTATGAATTCTATTTATCAAATAAAAAAATATATACATGCAGGTACATATTTACATATTCTAATTTCTTTTTTCAGTGGCAGGAAGTGAGACACATTGCAAATGACCCTAAAGCTTCATACTTTGGAAAAGTGGTAAGTGAAGCACTTAATTCATTTTTAAAAGGCCCTACACTAAATCCATGCTGGGACAGACGTCCCTTTATGAACAGTCACAAACATGACGATACTAACGAGGGTTGTATTATGGTACCTTTCTCTTTATTTAGGGCTAAGTAAAAACACTCTAAAACCCACGACCCTATCTACGCTCGTCTCATAACGCCTTAGGTTTTTTTAGACGTTATTACGTGGAATTTTGATTTAATATGATCTCTAAGAGTCTAAAGGCATTTCAAGAATGTAGATAAAATACTACTAACGTTTGTAAACATAAATAACAAATATATAATTGTGTCAGCAATTAAAAATAAATTAGGAAGGCCATTAAAACAATGTTATTATTATACAAGCGAACATCAAATTTCAATTAAGATTAGTTCATCAGACGAAATATTAATTTAATCAATTTTGTAACTTTGAACATCGTCAACTTTAAGCAAATTGCTTGCCACTGAAAGTTTTAAACATCTTTTTTCTTTTCAATTTACTTAACTTGCCCAGGAAGTTTTCCTGGCAGGCAAATAGACATGTATGATATTGAAAGGGTTCTCTCTTTCCATTAAAGCTAGGAAAGTGTAATGCTTATTTTCTTTCAAAGGCTAGAGGTAAAGATATATTGATTCAATTAAGGAGCTACTACTAAAGTTAAACAAACTAAATGAAAAGCGTTTGGTGATAATTGCGTTGTTTAGAATAAATATTATCTTCCTTGAGGTGAAACAAGGTCCCTGAACTGAATGCTAAGAAAGAAACAAACAAATAAACAAATTAAATAACAGGGAAATGCAACAATATCATCTCCTAAACAGAAAAGGAAGTAAATAAGCAAATATTGACCTCTGTTTGATCGCCACAATCTCTCCATGCCATTTCGTTGCAAGGCCATCCTCGACAACACACAAAAACTTTCTACAATATTAAAGTTACACAGGGGTGAGACTTCAAAGAAAGCCATGCTGTGTTTGTGTGCGTAAATTTGGGCATCTCGTTCGCCCACTTTCCTTTTGAAGGCCAAATGTAGACGGTTTCCTATAAGCACTTTGGGAACTCCCGGAGCATGCTGCAAAAAATGTCCCCCATTAATTATTTTAACTATTTAAGTACTAATAACGGATTAAGTTCTTGGTCAGTAATTTATCGAAACTGCCAAGCGTGGATCACGATTTTGGGCTTATTCGATCTCATCAGCACGTCATAGGCAGTTTTAATAAATCAAATTTGGTTTACGTGCTTATCACGTACATATGTCGTCGTTTCAGAGTAAGGCCCTTATCTAACATTTGAAATACTTCAGTTATTAGCAGTACATGCCTACATACTACTGTAACTCGATATTTTATTCAAATACTACTGTTACTGACCTCATCTACCTCCTTTAACCACCTGTCCAAACCATCAAATGACCACCTGTTAGTTATATCATAAACAAGAAGAACTCCTTGAGCCCCTCTCGAATAAGACCGAATTATCGTGCAGAAACGACCCTGGCCAGATGTGTCCCACAATTGCAATTTAACTCTTTTACCATCTAACAAAATTGTAGTCGTTTTATAGGCTAAAAATAATACAAATTAAAAATTACAAACTGGTTTTGAGTACAATTAAGTAGAAATTAATTAATGTTAACATTTACATAAATTCTACTGTAGAAAATTTCAATTAGCAATGCAGATATTTAATTTTTTTTTTTGGGTTTACATTTACAAGTTCAGAGACCGNACTGCGGAAAAACAAAAAAACATAACGTGCCATATTCTAAAGTTTAAACCATCAGCAGGTTTTTCTATCCATGGTTCGTTTTCTTTATCGGGATTTGGGTAAAACGAAGCCATGACACGAATATATCAACAAGTCGGGGAAAAATACCGCACACAAATATTATTAATGGAAAAAAGATGCCGCACCCTCATCCACACCTTTATCCTATCTGCTCTCGCATTAGTTAATGGAAGATGAAACGGAAATTAGATCAAACTATATTTGAATGCAAAAATCGATTCTTAATTTCTTATAAAACGTGCATTTCAACTTAAAAAGAGTACACAGTACATCTGTATTTATTTGTTTATACCTGACAGAGTGACTGTAATTTTTTCAACTCGTTTCAAAGACGAAAACGACATAGTTATTGGTGGCTGGAGATTTTTTATTTGATTAATGTTATTTCCTGTGTGATCATATTGTTTTGTAAGCATAACATACACTGAATTAAGAATTTAAATGTGTAATGAGATTTATCTACTACTTATTTAACGATTTTCAATTATGGAAGTAGAAAAAAATGTATTTACTATTTCTTTCAGCTACTTATGCTAAAAGAAAATTATGTGAAAAGTTCAGTGCTTTAGGATGGGCAATACACTTTTTCATAACTAAAATATTATTATAAGTGTCTATAAATAAGCAAATCAAATGCCGTGCTCGCGTATTTTAAGACCTAGGAATTTAACTTATCTTTCATCTTGGAGGAGATAAAACTATAAATAAATGTAACATATCTGTTTTAATCGGTGTTACTATACCTCCATATTAAAATAGTTTATGAATCAAAAAATTAACTTTTTGACTTTCTTACATATTTGTTAATGAAAAGCAAAAGAACCCATTAAAAATAAACAAAATACTTACCACTACCACTACAAAAGGGTGATTCTGCAGCACCATCATCTAATTCGGATAGTATTTCCTGTTTTCCTACGTCACTATCTCCTACTAAAAGGAACTTCAACAAATAATCGTATTGTTTTTGCGGAGGCCTAGAGTTTTCCTCAGCCATAACAAAGGTATAACACCAATCTTAACCATAATAACACTTTGATTAGCACTTCACCTTTCACACACACAATGTTTCTGTTTCTTCTTATTTTTCAAGTTTCTACTGTAAAGAAATTCAAAAAATATTCATCCAGGTGTTTTTCGTATTATCTCTAGCAGTTACTTTACAAAATTAAACAAATAGTTACCTTTTCCCAATAAAACTTTCAAAACACAAAGACCAATTTGATTATATATGTAAATATTTACACATTACAAAACAAATATTTTGCAAACATTTGACATTAACAAGTTCCCCTAATAATAATAAAAAAGGCTTACATTGCTAATTACATTACCACCCACTACTTTTAATTCTTTTTTAAGCTTTTTATTGCTCTTACCAGTGGTTCAGGTCGTTTTGGTGCTGTCACTTGAAGTTGTCAACTGTTGTCAACCATTGTTTTCAATTTGTCTATAAACTTGTCGAACCATAGATAATAATTAAAAATATTATTCGCCGTATCTCTAGTACCACATCCGTAAAAAGGAAATTTTGAATAAGTTGATTTCAAAAACTATTATAATAATTTCACTAAAGAACAAACGTTTTTAGAAGTGATTGTGCCCTCCTTAATTCAAAACATGACCAGACATTTATTTATATATTATTATCTACATCTTAACCAGTATCTTTAATTGGTTCTTTTATTTATTTCTTAGGTATCCGTAAATCTTGATATCTTTAATTTCCCATACTTATTAACTACTTACATCGTTAAAAATATATATTATTGTTTTATTTGTTCTTAAAATACTTGCACATAGTTGTTAATTGATTTGAGATGTAATTCTGTTTATTAGGAATTTAAAGATAATGGATATTTATAATTATCTTCTCGTAAATATAATTTATAATAATCGTAAATGTTTTAATTCCTAATAAACCATATATATTCAAATTTAATTTGCGCGCCTTGTACGTGACAGCGTCTGTAACAAATGGCGACAAAAATGGTTCTACTTTACCGGCAGTGTAAAATGAGCACCTCCCAATGTGACTAAGAAGAAAGTGCAAATTGTAATCTTAATTTAAATAAATTGATGTAGAGTGGTGTGAAGATGATTTTACTAGAAATTAATAATAGAATAATAGAAGAAACTTTAACAGTTAAAATTAAAAACGCACAAAACGGGTAAGTAGAAAATAAGATGCTTTTTAACCGGTAATGTTGGGGTGAGGTTGTTATCTTTTTAATAAATACCTTACTGTTATCTAAATTACCATTAAAATTGTTAGCATTAATTATTATGCAGTGCTTTGTATTATTTAATTTTCACTTTGCCTAACCTCGTAAGATAAATTTAAAATATTTGTAGGTTCTGTTTTTCTAAAAAAATTGTTTATTTTAGCGTAAAACCTGAGTCAATTGACGTAACAATAGCAGATTTTGATGGAGTTTTGTACCATATTTCCAACTTCAAGAGCGATAAATCAAAAGTTACGGTAATAAGCTGTTTTTTTTGTACCTAGTAATATGTGCCTAATGTGAAAACTTTTAGGTGAGTATATCGCTTAAATTTTATGAAGAACTCAAAGAACACGGTGCAGATGACTTGTTGAAGAGGGAATATGGGCAATACTTGATTCCACCAGAAGATGGTTACAATGTTTCTCTTTTAATAGATTTAAAAGATATTCCTACCAACTGGACAGAATTAGTGAAGAAAATAGGCTTACTTAAACGGAATTGTTTTGCTTCTGTTTTTGAAAAATATTTCAATTTCCAAGAGAATGGAAATGAAGATAATAAACGTGCAGTGATACATTATCGTACTGATGAAACAATGTATGTTGATTGTGACAAACAAGGGAAAATAACTTATCATCATTAACTATTTTTAGGTACGTAGAAGCAAAGTCTGACAGAGTGACTGTAATTTTTTCAACTCGTTTCAAAGACGAAAACGACATAGTTATTGGTAAAGTATTTATGCAAGAGTTGAAAGAGGGCCTGAAGGCATCTCAAACTGCCCCTCTTGTTCTATTTAGTCATCGAGAGCCTCCGAGAGAACTTCAAAATACAGATGCCAAAGTAGATAATAACGTTAGTTATGTTACATTTGTGTTATTTCCCCGTCACACGTCCAAAGAAGCGAGGGATAATACAATAAATTTAATTCATATGTTCAGACATTACTTGCATTATCATATTAAGTGTTCCAAAGCGTACATACACAGCCGAATGAGAGCAAAAACAACAGAGTTCCTTAAAGTCCTTAACAGAGCTAGACCGGAAAGTAAATCAACAGATAAAAAGACAATTAGGTGAGTTTTCTATCCTTTCTTTGAATGATCACGTTCACATACAATAGGATTTAATTCGATATAAAATTGGTTTTAAAATTATTATTCTAAACTCAGTACTTTTCAAAATATAAACTGCTGAAAAGTTTGATAAGTAGGAATGTTAATAATACTCCTGTCGAAACATTTAAAATGCCACAGTTAGCAGTAAGTATCAGTAGATGGCGTTATGTTAACGTGTTTAGTTTGGTCGGTGATTTCTCGATACTGCCTATGACGTGCTGATGAGAACTTATTAGTTCTAAATCGCGATCTACTTCTGTTAGTTTCAATAGATTAATGAGTAAGAACTTAATGTTTTTCATCATTATTCTACGAGACACGTGTTAATGTTTGCATTAGAATTCAATTGTCTTTGACTTAGAATAAGAAAAATAGTAATTTGGTAAATATATCCTAATTTTTTTGTTTGTTTACAGTGGCAGGACTTTCTTTAGAAAGGATTGATGAGACCTTTTAAAGTCGCTCAAAAAGAAATTTAGTTGATATTAAACTAACTGCCCATGTTGAACAGATTAGAGCGCAAACCTCCCACATTGGTTCTGTTCAATTTTTAATTTTTTATTTTATTTTTTTTAATTTTTTTAAATTTAGTTTCATTGCGATTTCATTTTCATTTTTTTTTTCTATGTATAAACGTTAACTAATACATGATTTTAAATTGCCTAACACATTTTTATTACTTACTATTATAATAATTAATTATTACCTGTAAAAAGTATTCTTTTTGTAAGTACGACGAATAACGTATTGTAAAACAAAATAGTGTTTCATGATCAGGATCGTTAAAATACAACAATTTTATACAGAAGTCACGTAAATA